ATTTGAATGGTCTTCTACATGATATGTTGTCCAAAAACTCTTTTATTGTTATTCAAGTGCATATTAATAACAGTAAATCAAAACGTTTCATTTCTTAAAGAATCTGCAAAGAATATAATGAAACATGGTATCATTGAGCATTATGCTTGATTAAAGCATTAATCTGAATAGATGGGAACTTTGGTTATGACAAAATGAATTAATTTGAGAAGATATAAAGATTTTACATATCACTGGTTGGGTATAAATGGTTAGCAGCCAAAGTGAAAAATTTGAATTTTTATGGGGAGAGGGATAAGGATCAAATTCATAAGCTGTTATAACTTAAGTAAAAGAAATAGAATCATTAAAGACATCATTATGGTATTGTTAGAAAAGTAGCTCTGCCATCAGAACATAAATAATGGGCTGTTTCTTAGTGGAAAAGTCAGTCATTGATTGTTTTTTTTGTTGTTGTTGAGGAACAAAATCATTTAAAAAGACCATGTGACCTTAGAGGGTTGGATGTGTCAATAGATTATTGATAACAAATGAAATTGGTTCTGTTGTGTGTGTCTCAAGTTATACTAGCTTAATTTCATTGTTAGAAGGTAAAGGGATCCTGTTATATTCGTTTTTCCTTTGACAGAATGAGGTATGGAAAGGGGAAATTATCAGGCAAGTGGAAAATGACATTCCTCCCAAATGAAAACGGTACAGAAAAGAAATGCTGTCTTCATAAATACTAATGGAAAATCAATTCTCTATTTGTATTAAAAACTTGTTTGTTTGTTTTTTAAAGGTAAAAAGTAAAATGATTTAAAAACTGAAAAAAACATTTTCATGGTAAGGGACTATTTGCTCCTTCCCTGGTACTTATGTGCCTCATTTTATGTACTAGATGTATTCACAGAAATTACATAAATCAATTTTTCTAAATTGAATCACATCTTAAAGGTACCATAGAAATGTGCTATTTAAGGAAACACTGTAGTAAATCCTTTTTGTAATGTAAATAATTGCATTTAATCTCTTGCATGTTATTAGGTTGTTTTGCATTATCTTGAAGTAAGGTACATGTGCCCAACAAAGCTAGAGAATATGATATATTCATATAGAGCAGAGTATACATATGCACAATTATTCATTCAACTTTGGAGACTTGCAGTATTGCAACAGAGAAGATATTCAATAAATCATAGAATTAGAAATATTTAATGAATGAATCAATTTAATATTTGATTAGGGATAGATATTCAGAATCAAGATGTGTTGTGGGCTTTTTAAAGAGAATATTTTATTATTAAATGTTATTTAATTTAATGTGTATTACAAAGGTATTTTGAAATAATTTTATGGCAGATATGTATGTATAGCTTTAGGATATTATTAGAAAATGCCTTGAATGTACAGTAAAATACAGATGGGAAAACTTGATCTGAAGACACCTTCAGCTTAACAAAAGCCACCCATTTCACAGATGATTTAACTTTGATTAACCTACTCTGTAGCAACAGATTACTCAGACAACTGGAACTTCACTATAGTGTTATTGCTAGATAATGGCTTAATTTACAGCATAGCTTTTCTTTCCATCTCACCAAAATACATCACAATTTTGATGTTAACTCAAAGTAAAATTTCAGTGGTTCATTAAACCTAGTTTTAGCATTCATTGACAAGAGATTTGTCATTTTAAAAGTAACTGCTACTTTTGTGCACTCTTTACTGCTCAGTTTATAACCTTAGATCCCCTGTCAGAAAAAGCATGGAGTTAACCACTTAGCATATTGTAATGAATATTCATCAATAAATTGATGTGACATGGCAGTCCCATTTTTCAGTCTTCCTACTCCTGTGTAGTATTTTCAAGTTTTAAATATGTTCTAGTACAGCAAAGACTAGCATAGAATGTCTTTAATAATATATATATATTTGTATATTAATTGAGAAAGTAATAAACACTTAATGTCCAGAACATTAGGATATGATGAAGGAAGTATATTATTTTCAATAGCTTTATGTTGAGATTCTTCTTTTTGAAGAATTGTATCAAGTTAGTGAGATTGGATACTTCAGTAAATTTAATCTTTACATGGATACTGTTACTTAATCTGTTTTATAACTGTTAAGTTCATGGCTTTTCTTTTGCTTATGGCAAATAAAATAACTTTTCCCTATTTTTCTTAATTTTTGTAAATTAATATTTGAGACCTAAATTTTAGTGCTGATAGTAGCTTTAAATCAGCAGTTTTTTAAACTGGAGATCATTCTAAAACTAAATAAATTCTAAAACATAGTCATTCTAAAACTAAAATCTGGAGGACGTATATTTAAATAGCTGCTATACTATCATCAGATGCAAACAATAATACGTAGGGACATTTGGTATTGAGAGTGTCATATATGGAGGGATACAGATCACTGCATAATATATTCCATTTACATTTTAAATGTTGAAAGAGAGAGAAGATCTTCTACAAGATCTTTTCTCTAAAATATGTAGATTATGAGGTCACTTAGCACTAAAGTGCTGACCACATGCATTATGATAGGAATATGACATCTGTCATTGAAAATGGTACTTAGAAGCAGTGTAATACAATAAAGTTGGGGGAGGAGAAAGGGATGAGGATGGGAGGCTCCTGTGTATAATTCATTATGTTAAGGAATGACTGGTTCAGGATGGCAAAAACCCTTACCTTTTGAATTTAGAACTTAACTTTGAATTCAGATTAAATGCAGAATTGATTAGAGTAGCGATTAATAATCATATGAAGCAGTGAGAAATCTGAATTTCTACATGTTAAATTTTTAATTTTAAAATATTTGCTTTGGTAGTCTAATGTCATCTTTTACATTAAATGGAATTAAATAATTTTTATTACTTTGACCTGTAAAGACTAGATATCAGCTTTATATTTGAACAGTTGTAGTGTAGAGCTGCTACCGGTTATACTGTTTTCAGATTAATAGTCCGTTGTACATGAGAATTCATCTAAAAAGGAGTAGTGTCTTTCTGTTTCTCTGTGTGATTATTTTGCCCAAAAAAGCTTTCATTTTTTAAGTAGCACAAAAGCTGTAATTGGCATGCTTTGTAAGGAAGTGTCAATGTGCAAGAGAGTGGAGATCACTAAGAATTCTTTTACGCGTTCTTTCCCCTTTGCACCACCGCCTCCTCAGCAGGGTCACTGAGATCACTAGCTTTTCTTGAAATGGCCATTTTCACTGGCAGGTGCATTATACCCTGTATTTTCAGATTGTTTTTCCATTCTGAATGTTTGGCAGGTTGATTGCTCTGGCTGCATTGACGGAGAAAGGGCTGACAAATGCGGTTGGGCTGGCTGAAAAGACAGTGATTACTGTTTTCCTTTGTGGCTGATTGAGGCCCTTGAAAGGAAAAATTTTAACCTTCACCATTTGGTTCAAAAGTAGGAGCATATATTGAAATCATTCATGCCATTTATCCTAGTTCTGTAAACTTGTCAGAACGTAAAAATCGCTCAATTTCAAGTAATATAGGATTGGCATACGTCATTATCATTTTGATTAAGTTGGAGGTTGTATCATTGTGTGCATTATGCAGTGTCATTTAAAGCTTTCTTTCCTACAGATACTGTTATATTTTTATTGCCTATACTATAGAGTTAGAAAGATTTTCAGAGCTCTCTAAACCTAACACTATGTGTGTGGTTTGGCAGCTGGTATGGCCTACAAGCTGTATTTTGTTTGCAGGGTAAAGGCTTGTCTGTAGACCTCCTGGAGTGTTGGTAATTGCACAGGCTTGCCATTGGGGAAAGACATGATTGGAAGCAGTCAGGCAGAAAAATGTTATGCCATCCCATTGCCACCTCATAGCAGAAAGACACAATCCCAGCAGTACCATCTGGTTGTTGCTATCTAGTCAGCTGGCCTGGCTGCTGGGACCATGGCTTGGCAGCTGGTTCCCATCCCTTGACCACTCTTTGTGTACGTTGTGTGTGTATGTGTGTTAGATAACTTTGAACATGGGTCAGGGAGATGACTGTGGCTAACAAGGAGAATCCCCTTGTTGAATAGTCTCATTACTTGAGATGAAGCATGCTGCAGACTCCTGCTGCCATCCCCTTAAAGACAGATGAGAAATCTGTTTAACCAATAAACTTGAATGTGTTCTTCCCACAGATCCATTCTAGGATGCAGAGGAAGACAAAATAGGCGCTGTATATTTTATAACATTTTAAATAAGTAATTTGATGTAATTTTTTTGTTTTCAGGATTTGAGAGGACATATGGAATACAAAAGTCATATCAACCTTACTTATCATTAGGCTACATCGTTGTTGCATATTCTTTATTGAAATTAAGAGAAAACATTTTCTTTTAAAACTGTTATTGCCAAATAAGATGATGATTGTGATGGAAATTATGTTAATAATAATAATAACAGAAAATAGAATGTGGTCACATTACTATGAGCTTTAACAAGATCTGCCTTTCAGAATAGCAACTCAATTTACTAATTTAATAATCTAGGCCATTCCTATTCCATATGAAGATCTATTAGCTATTAATAGTTATTAAGGAGTTTTAAATTACAAGTAAGCAAGTAACTCTGTAGGTTATTTCAGACATTTGATGTTCTATATTCCGCACATTAAGGTATAAGCATGTTACATAAAACTGTACAGTAGTTTTATCTTGGTCTGTGTTGAATGATAAATGCCTCTAAGATTTCAGAACTTTATATTAGGAATGCTTTACACGGCTATAGAATTTAGTATGACTGTCAACATACTATATGCTCATATACTAAAATCTATCCAAAATAGGATCACATTAACACTCTTTACTTTTAGAGATGGAATTAGAAACCAAAATTTTGTTATTTTTAAAGACAAATTTTTAGAAATCAGCACATCTTGCTTCATCTTTAAAATGATTTATTTTTGCATTAATATGATAATTTGTGAAGAACATTGCTTTGTACAGGGTTTTGTTTTTTTTTTCATTCTGGTTTCGCAATGGTTTTATTTTTTCAGATGAAGAAGAAGATGATGATGTTGTAACCCCCAAACCACCCATTGAACCTGAAGAAGAGAAAACTTTAAAGAAAGATGATGAAGAAGAAGGTACAAATGCTTTTTTTTAATGTCTTAATTTCACTTTTTAAATTGAATACATTTCATTGGGATTTGCTTTTGTTCATATATTTACATAAGAGAACAATGTTATTGTACAACAAAAGGTATTATGTGGGCCTGTTAAAAATGGTAATTTAATGAGAAAGAGTTGGTTTATCAGTGATTTATCAGATATAAATAAATCTGCAAGAAAGAAATATTTGTTTTCCAGTCCCCCCTCATGAGCTCACTGAAGAGGAAAAACAACAGATCCTGCACTCTGAAGAGTTTCTAAGTTTCTTTGATCATTCCACAAGAATTGTAGAAAGAGCTCTTTCTGAGCAGATTAACATCTTCTTTGACTACAGTGGGAGAGATTTGGAAGATAAAGAAGGGTAATATTTAGTTACTAAGACCTGTGGCATGATAAGAGTTGAATTATTATAGATGAAAAAGTCTAATATAAAAAAGTCTTATCCTTTATGTTTTGGGGTTTGTTTGTTTGTTTGTTTTTTTTTAATTCCAGAGAAATTCAAGCAGGTGCTAAACTGTCCTTAAACAGGCAGTTTTTTGATGAACGTTGGTCCAAACATCGTGTTGTTAGTTGTCTGGATTGGTCATCTCAGGTAAAATGGAACAAAAATGATATTTAATAATTAAATCATGTTTCATTTTGTACCAATTAGGCTATTATTATTAGAGGGCAGAAGAGACCATTGATGATTTATTAATAAACATTTATTAAAATAATTCTCAGACAAAGTTCATCTCATTTTCTGGACTTTGGAAGAAGAGACTGAAAACTTTAATCCTTTGGGGGAATAATCCAGGGTAAAAGCTAACTGAATCCCAGTTGTACAGATTTTAGTAGAACATAAGACAGTACAATACATAATGTATGTTTGAATAAAATACAGTTTTAACATAAAAACAGAATTTAAACTTATAAGCATAAATGTAGTGGGATACTGCATTTGACCATAAAAGTAGTACTTTCTGAGGAAAGGGAACAGACATTTTTAGTTTTAAATTGATTTGGTAGTGAAAACTAAAGTAGTCGGAACGTAAAACCATTTTCATTGATGTTAGTTTCTCTGATTTCTTGTGACCAGTACCCAGAATTGCTCGTGGCCTCCTATAACAACAATGAAGATGCTCCTCATGAGCCTGATGGGGTGGCCCTTGTGTGGAATATGAAATACAAAAAAACTACCCCAGAGTATGTGTTTCACTGCCAGGTAGGATGTGAGAAACTGTCATCCCACATGTTGAACCTCCATTGATGAATTTACAAATGCCCTTTTTCTTTTTTCTTGTCAACATGGTGATTTCATTAGGTTGGCATTTACCAAACCACATGTGTTTGCAAACAGATGTTGACTGAAAATTAAGAATTAGTTCAAAATAGTCTTCCCTTTGTAGCATTTGTGACATTTTTCATATTGTTTAATCACACCTACACTGTCCTTTGATGTTGTTTTTTCCTTTATTCTAATTGATCTATATGAAAAGAAAGCTTTTATAAAATGCCTTTACCAAGGGAAATTTCTCATGAACGGTTTTACTGAATATACAGTTAGTCTGTTGGCCCACTAAGTTACTTGTATATGGCCTGAGGAGTTGGAACTAGATAGTTTTAAGTAGAAACATATGTTCAGAGTAGGAAACAGATGCAGATTTTAAAAATGAATTTAGTAGAAAGGTAAAATTTGCAAACCTTTTCTGTTTGCAATAAGACAAAGTCTTTTCATAATGTCATAATTCTGAAAGATTACTTAACTGAATCAATACTAGCATATAATCTGATCCTGTCCGATTACTGTCAAGACAAAGTGTGGGGCTAATTATCTTATAATTTGATACTATAATGATGTGAAATATTTTTTACTTCAGAAATTACTTCATTATATTTATGTAAAATGTTATATTTAGTTCCCTTTTCTCAGCAGCATTCTCTTAGCCAAGAAAATTCTAAAGAGAAAAGCAAAAACTTTTCCATATGAAATAAAAATGTGAACTATTGTAATGAAATGAGTCATTAAATTGACTTAATTAGAAATATTTTAACCGAAAAACAAAGAAAATGTTCATTTGTAGTGGAAAGGATTAGTTTATTTCTGTAAACCATTAGATTTTTTTTCCCCTTTTAAGTCTTAAATGTAACATTCTCACCTTTTTTTATTTGTAGTCAGCTGTAATGTCGGCTACCTTTGCAAAATTTCATCCAAATCTGGTTGTTGGTGGTACATATTCAGGCCAGATTGTGTTGTGGGATAATCGAAGCAATAAGAGAACCCCGGTCCAGAGAACCCCACTTTCAGCTGCTGCACACACGGTAGGGAAATAAAACATCTTATACAAGATTCCTCACTCCTTAGTTATTAAGTGCCTAGTAGTGTTTATCAGGGTCTTCTAGAATAAGCATGCTTTGATGTACAGAGTCATCAGCATTCAGCAGCCATATTTCATTCTGTACTATGGAAAATACATTTTTACTAGAAGCCCTTTTTTCTTCCAAGACAGTATTCTTTCTTAAGTGTAGCGATTTAAAAAACAGCAAAGCTGTTCATATTAAAGATGCTTTAGAAATATATTAGGATGGTTTGGTCTAAAGAAGAATGCAAATAGTTGAACCTTAGTTAGAAAGTTTGAGGTTTTGTTTACAAAATAACCCTTTTAAACTCTTTTTGCTTTATGTCCCTTTTAGCACCCTGTGTATTGTGTGAATGTAGTTGGAACTCAAAATGCTCACAATTTGATTAGCATCTCCACTGATGGAAAAATTTGCTCATGGAGTTTGGACATGCTTTCCCATCCACAGGTAGAGTTCACTTGTGACAGCCTAAAACTGTCTAACTAGTTATTTATAGCTATATGAAAAGGTATAATTAAAAAAAAAACTTCATAACTTATATTTTTCATACAAATTCATGATATTCAATTTCAGTGACCTCATTTTGCAGTGACCCGCAAAAGTACTTTAGGCAAAGATAGGATTAAAATGGGAATAGAATGGTTTTGAAAGAGCAATGAAGATCAGAAAAATCTTTTTTTAAGTAACAGTTATTGGTTGTCTAAATAGTTCCACATATTTTTTTCTGCAGGATAGCATGGAATTGGTTCATAAGCAGTCCAAAGCTGTAGCTGTCACTTCTATGTCCTTCCCTGTTGGAGATGTCAACAACTTTGTTGTTGGAAGTGAAGAAGGCTCTGTATACACAGCGTGTCGCCATGGCAGGTGATTAGAAACTTTGGAATTATTGTTTATTTTAAAATTGTAATGCTGACAGAGATTCTCCCTTATAACCATGTTTAAACTAACTACACCCCCTTTTTAGTAGCATTTGCATGGAACTGCTTACTGTGGGTGGAAAAACTGCATTATTTTCAAACTTACAAAATGGAAACTTTCACACCAAAAGGAAAATGATGGATTGTTTTCTCCTGTATGTTGGTAATAGATTGGAGATTTTATTTTGCTGTTCAGCATTTCCTAAACATAAATGCTATAGCTGTCATTCCTAGAACTGACCTTTCAGATGTACATAGAAAGGTAAAAGTTACCAGTTGCATTTCAGTCAATGTTCATTTGAATTTGAACTTTATCCTAGTCCTCCTGATAATTGTACAGTAACATCACGCACACATCTTCAATTGACTAGTATTTCTCCTACTGTTCCATCTGTTTTGAAATTGTCTAGCTCTGCCTTATCAATTTCTTCCTTAAATAAAATAGAGTATCTAGGTTTCATCTCAAACACAGATCACCCTCACTTCAAAGCTCTTAGGTTTAAAAGTAGCCAAAATTATATCTCTTCTGTGTAGCATTTCTTTGCCTTTCACTGTTCCATCAGTTCAAGTATTGGACTACTGGGGGTATGTTGTCAGTACTTGAATGTTTGTGATTCCAAATTTTACTTTCAGCTTTAGAATAAATCTGGACAGGATAACATCCAATATCAGTAATGTTGCCCTTTTCCTAGAATTATTTCAATGTGTCATGCCCACAATAAGTTTCGAAAAATTTTGACGGAGCTTGATATTTAAATGTATGTATACTGTCTGTTTATAGAGAATCTGGCTTCAAAGAGACAAACCTGATTGCTTTTGTTTTGTAAAACAGCAAAGCTGGAATCAGTGAGATGTTTGAAGGACACCAAGGACCAATAACTGGTATCCACTGCCATGCAGCAGTCGGAGCTGTCGACTTCTCTCATCTTTTTGTCACTTCCTCATTTGACTGGACAGTGAAACTTTGGACAACCAAGGTACCTAAAATGTTTTCTGGTCATTTTCTCAAAGTTTTGACACAAGGTGGTGCTCTAATATAAGCCACATAGGAAAGTTAAACTCAGATTGTTTGGAAATATTCATTTGTTAAATCAGATTAGATTAAGGTAGAACATAATCCTATGTTATATGTTATATAGTTTGCATTTTCTTTTCTTCATAATATGCTGAGCAAATCCAGTAATACCCCACTTATCCAGACATCTAGTTTCTGGTGACCATTGGAGATGTCCCAAAGCCTCACACTCAAGCCCTATGCTTTGCTGCATAGAAAAGACCTTTGCTGTTTGTCAGAACCTCTTTGCTTTTGTTTTGTACACAATTCTTAACAAGTTTCTTTATCTAATTTCATAACCCATAGCATATTAGAATCCTCAAATTAGAAAGGATATGGACTGTTGGGACAGTTAACATAGTAATAGGAAGTACCACCTGCCAGTGAAGAACAAAATAGGAAGATCCCTGAAGTGTGTACATCTGCATCGTGTTTTAAAACTGAGAACGGTAATCGTTATTTATAATGAAGATTGTGAATCGTCAAGAAAAGACTGAATTGTTCAAAGGGGCAGAGAATGCTAAGATATTTTAGAGAGTTTTCCATCCTAAATGGCTAAAATAAGCAAAGGTTGGTTCTAGATTCACTTTTGTCTTCCTTTCTTCATGAACCTAATAGTTTACAATTTAAAAATTACTTTTTTTACAACAACCCTTTGAGATAGGTGGTGCCGAGTACTGATTTACAGATGAAGAAACTGAGGGTAAAGTACAGTAAAGTAATTTAACCAGGTTACACACGTAATAAACATTAGAGCTGAGATATGAGCTTAGGTCTCTCCAAAGGTGCTGTCTTTTTGTGGAAGGATCAGAGAGAAAGGAAAGAAGGAGGGGTGAGGGAAGAAAGAATTATTAAGGGCCTACTGTATGACAGGTATCTACAAGTACCTGTGCTCATTTGATCCTCACAACAACCCTGAGAGATAGGTGCTATTATCCTCATTTTACAATTGAAGACGCTGAGGCAGGCAAAGGTTAAGTGACTTGCTCAGGATCACAGAGCAAGTAAATGTCTCAGGATGGATTTGAACTCAGGTCTTCCTGACTCTAGGCCCAGCCTGGCTCTAGCTTGTGGCTAGCCCCTGTGCCATGTGGCTGCGCTTAGATCTGCCTTTTTTTCTTCCTCACAAAACAAGCACTAGAGGTGAAACATTCCATGAAACTCTGTTGCTCTTTACTGACTCTTTTAGTCTAATTTCAGAAATTAGTTTAGAAATCTTGAGTTACAATAATATGTTCAGGTTTGGCCTTAACTACCATAGAAATTAATGTGTTTTCCAAGGCCATCTCCTCCTTTTAATTCAGCTTCTTGGATGAATTGGTTGACGTCCAAAAATCAGTGGCTTTGTATGTCTTCACTGTCTGTTTATTGGTCATCAATTTGAGACCTCCAATTTTCCCAGTCTTCAACAGCATCAATTCTGAGGTTGGAAATATCTGATTGGTCCATTACTTTAAGCAGGAAGCATACCTTCAAGAATATTTCAGCCTTCTGCTTCTGAGGTGTAAGACCCCAGCTGCCTGAGGTCACTGCCCAACTCTCTTTTTTCCCTGTGTGGAACTGTTTCCTCTATAGGCAGGGCGACAAGACTACTTTCTTCTAGTTGACTAGGCCAGAAAGGAATTCTCCCATTCAGCGAACATTTGTGAGGGCTGGTGTAAAGAGAATTCCTCTGTAAGGACCTCCAGTGGAACTTCTGACTCTGAGATTTAGTCATGGTTCCTGTAGTTCTCTAGACCTGGACCTTGCAAAGATGTGTAGCCAGCACTGAAAGACAGACAGAAATGTCTGCTGCTTTTTTATGTTATTTCTTCATATCCCTTTTTCCATTTACTCTTATTACAAAGAGAGTCTTCACACATATCTCTTTCATCAAGCTATATACAGGGCTTTTTACTTATTTGATTATACCATGCTTTCTCTCTTAAAGGTATACAAGCAAACTGTTCTGTTTTTGGTTTTGTTTTTTTTAAATATGAAAAGGGTCACTCATGATATGTTAAAGATTGTAAATGCTGCTGGTTCACAGGCCCAGCTTAATATTCTGCATAACTCTTGTGTTTTAATAATTACACTCCATTCCTAAGGACCACCCCCGTCACATACCACCCTCCTGTGTCAGTGTAGCCCAAGGAGTGGAATCAAGTATGATCTCATATATCTTCATATTTACTCCAGAAAATATGTGCATTTACACATTAATGTACCAATTCTGCTTTGCACAAGAGGAGGAGAATATTATATATGTGTGAATGACAACTTTATCTCTTCTAAAAAATGCCCTGAGGATAAACCTTGTGAGTAAATATTTAAATCCTGAGCCCCAATTTAATTCCAGAGTTTATTATTTTGATCATGTAATTAATTATGCTTTCTCATATTTAACCTAATAATATCAATTTCCATCCTCCTTAACAAGGAGGAATAGTTTGTTAATGATCTGCTTTTTAAAAACAGAACATCATGCTAGTTTCATGCCAGACTTTCATAACTGGTATTTTCAACTTTGTGCATTTAACAAACATTGAATATTTTATATGTCCTCTAGCAGTGAGGACATAATTTCATTCAACCCCTCTTCTTTTAAGAGACAGTTTTCTGTATTCAGATTTAAGCTTGGAGAAACTGGGAGTACTAGACATCCTGTTCTGTTGAAACTTTTTCCCCCTAAAGTCTGGCATAGCCCCAGCATCAGAACAAGATTTCCTGCACTCCCTCACTCTTCCCACACACCCTTTTTTCTTTTTCTGCTTCTTCTTTCTCCAAGTCTTCTATAATCCCTGGAAATCTCAATTTGGCTCTGTGTCTAATTTGGTCTAAAGTAGTTCTGCTTGTGTAGCCAGCCTTTAATCTCTGCCTAGTCAGGAAATCTATAAGGCAGTTGCACAGAGTCCTAGATCATCTAGCTGTTTTCATTACTTCTTTGTCCTAGCACAGTTACTTAGGTATTTTCAATAATGCAAATAAGTAGCAAAAATCCAGTTCGTTTGGGCCAAAAATTGGTCCTTCAATTAAAGTTTGAAGACCAAGACATTATCTCTGATAGGTGGATCTAGGCTTTCTAAAGATGAGTCTTTCTGAAGAAGCTCTATTCCCAGTTCCCATTAAATACTGAACTTGGAAGCTAGGAACCAGAGAATACTGGAGATTGTAAATTGTTGTGAGAATAAGAGCTTCTTAGAAAAAAAACATTCTGCAAGTAAAATGGTGATTACTTGAAAGCTCTGCCCTAATTGTGCTCATTGCATGTTGCCATTAAAATACAGTGAACATTTTGGGAAAAGAAATCTTTAGTGTATGTATGAGACATTTCTGTCTGAATAAAACCTTCAGTTGAAAGATCTATCTTAAACTTGACTGGTCTGACATTTTTTTTGATACTCGTTAACTGGTTAGAATATTGGTTCTCAGAATTTCTTGTTTGGCAGTGTCCACAGTCTCTCATGTCTCTTGTGACCCCTTTCATATTAAAAACAAACAAACAGAACACCTCATCTGGATACCTTTCTCAAAGCAAATTATGTCAGAGTTAGACGAGTAGGATCAGAGAGCCTTATCTAATGTTTGACGGAAGTAAGACTAAACTACCAATTCACTGAGCCTTTATCAAGCATTTACTATATGCCAGGTAAGATGTTAGACACTGGGGATTCCAAAAAGGAAATAACTTTTGCCATCAAGGACCTTACAAGCTATTGGGTAGGAACACGTGCACAAGTAAATAAATGCGAAATATGTACAACATAAATTTAAAGTAATTTCTGAGAAATGCTAAGAACACTAATAGCTTATGAAAGAAGGGTATTCAGGAAGGGCTTCTATAGGTTGCACTTGAATGAATGAAAAACCATTTGTCAAGCCCTGGGCTAAGCTCTTGGGATATGATTACCAAAGCAAAGACAGCCCTGTCTTCAAGGAGCTATGTTCTTATGTAAGTTACAATACCCATGGGTGAGTGAGTCCTCTGGGGAGCAGATTGACACACTCTATCTAGGAACAATAGCAGAGTTGATTTGATGGTAGATCATGGTTCCAGCAGTGGAAAGGGGCGGGGCAGAAGAGGTAAAGGCATTTGTGTGGTGGCATAGTGGGACAAGACATGATGAGAGAGTGGTAAGTGAAGGGAGACATGTAGCTAGGGCTTTCCTTAAACAGCAGTCTGGGAAGGTCAGTCACCAGTCAGGCCAGTGGGACTGTAGGGTGGAAGAGATGTGCCATAAGGGGAGATAGAGATTCTAAGAGGTGAGAAAGGGGGAGCATTCTGTGCATGCGCAGCAGTCTGTTCAGAGGTACCCATGTAGAAGATGGAGAGTCACATATAGGAAGCAACAACTGCTCCAGTTTGGCCAGAATATCAAGTGCATGTTTGAAGAGTAGGGGGTGGAATTATTGTGAAATCATTCTAGAAAGACATTCTTTAAATGTCTAACAGAGGAGTTTGTATTTTATCCTGAAGGTAACAGAGCCACAGGAGCTTCTGAAACAGAGAATTCCCCTGCACAGGCTTGCATTTCAGAAGTATAAATTTGAAAATCATCTGGAGGATAGATTGAGAGGACAGAGACTGGAGGCTAGGGATCCAAGTAAGAGACTATTGTACTAGTCTAGGCAACTTATCAATGAGGGCCTGAACTAAGGCATCGGCCATGAGAGTAGAGAAAAGGTATGGATGTGAGAGGTGTTGGCTATGGGGAATGAGTGAGAGTGAGGAATTGAAGAGGACTCCATGATTGCAAATTTTGGTGGCTGGAAGGATGATGTAGCACTTGACAGAAATAAGTTCAAATGAGGAATGGATTTAGAGAGATTTGGCCTTCATTTTGAACATGCTGAGTTTGAGATGCTTTGGAGTGACCAGAGTCCAGCAGACCTTTGGTGATGTGGGACTTGAGCATAGGAGGGAAATAGGGGGTGTAAATGGACATGCCAGAGTCAGCTGCTTAGGGATCGAACTCACAGGGATATTGTCTTTGCATTTCTTTAGAACTGCCACCTAACTTCCCCTTTGAGTATACTACTTAAAAATACAGGTATAATTGTTCAATTTTTCTCGTCCTGTATTTCTCTCTTTAAGGACTACCAGCAATGCAATCTTTCCTGACAACTCAGAAAATCATAGATTTATTCAATTAATAGTAACTAACATTCAAGGGGCAGGTAGGTGGCGCAGTGGATAGAGCGCCGGCCCTGGAATCAGGAGGACCTGAGTTCAAACCTGGACTCAGACACATAACATTCGCTAGCTGTGTGACTCTGGGCAAATAACTTAACCCCAATTGCCCTCACCAAAAATAATAATAATAATGATAATAATAATAATAACCAACATTCATATGGTACTTTATGTTTTATGGAGTACTTTACAGGCATTATCTCATTTATTCCTCAAAAGAACATCGTGAGGGAGGTAACAGGAATTATTATCCACGTATTTATAGAAGAAGAACTAGAGACATAGAAGTTGTGACTTGCCATGGTCACATAGATAGTTCGTGTCATTGGACTGGATTCAAACCAAGCCTCTCCTTATTTCAAGTCTAGCATTCTTTTGTGCTTCCCTGAAAGGAAATTTAAATGCCTTCTATGTGCATGAATTTGTTTCCTTGGAAATCATTTAGTCCAATAACCTTCATTTTACAGATGAAGGCTAGCGAGGTTAAATGATTTGTTCAAGGTCCATGAAACCAAAGTGATCCTACTTCTGCTGTCCGGGGTTAGGCATAACAAGTTTATTCCTTCTTTTATGTCATAGTCCTTCAGATATGTAAAGACATCTATCATGTCTCCTTTTACGTCATGTCCTCTCCAGGTTAAACAACTCTGATTCCTTCAGCTGATGCTCATATGACATGGTGCACAGTCCTTACCATCCTATTTGCCCTCTAGAATCTCTGTTTGTCAATGTCCTTCCTAAAATGTGGCCCCCAGAACTAAATGCAGTACTCCAGATAGTATCTGGTATTGTCACCTCCAGTGTTTTGGAATTAATACCCATATTAAACCAGCTGGCTACCACATCATACTATTGGCTTATTGAGCTTACAGTTCTCCAACCACACCATATATTTTTTTTCATATGGACTTTCATCTAGCTACTTCTTCCTATATTTAGGCAGTTGATTTTTTTTTTTTAACTCTCTTAGCTCCCATACACTGTTCTGACTCATAGGTCTCATTAACTCCTCTGAATTTATAATACTTACAGTCATGTCAGCCCACCCCACCCCGGTTGCCATTTTATCATTTAGCCTCAAATTGTTCACTGCTGTTTAACATGTTAATCTTGTCAGTCACCTAAATTATAAGTTACCTGAAGGCAGAAACAATGTCTCATATTTCAGTATTCTCCATTTTATTTACTATAATACCGAACATGTGGAAGATATTTAGTAAATACTCCAGCTAATCCTGAACATATTTGTTGAAATGAATGTTATTGGGTCAGAAAGGACCTTTGAGATCATTTAGTTCAATTCCCCTCATTTTATAAATGAAGAAACTGAGCCCTGGAGGATTAAGCTACCTGTCCAGGTTTAGAGAATAAGTGGCAATTGTAGAAGTAAAATCCAGGTGTCCTGATTCCTTAGTCCATTGCTCTTTCCACTCTAGCTATGCTATATCTCATTTTATTCTTATTCTCCCAAAGCTATCTCTAAGTTATTAGTGAAATCTTAATTTATCCCCAAAAGTTGCATGTGATATAGTGGAATGATCATGAGATAAAAGTAGTGGAATATTATTATGCAGTAAAAATAAAAAAATATGAATATGATGGAGTCTGACAAACCTGAGAAAACCTGTTTTTTTTAAGAAGTAAATATAATTTTTATTAATAAATTTATTTATTTTTAGTTGTCAACATTTACTTCCACAAGATTTTGAGTTCCAAATTTTTACCCCATCTCCCCTTCTCCCACCCCAAGATGACATGCATTCTGAATACCCCTTCCCTTAGTCTGCCTTCCCTTCTATCTCTCTTCGCCTTCTCTTATCCCCTTCACCTTCTGTTTTCCTATAGGGCAGGATAGATTTCTGTACCCCATTTCCTATATTTATTTCCCAGTTGCATGTGAAAACATTTTTTTTAAACATGTTTTTAAAACTTTGGGTTCCAAATTTTCTCCCTTCCTCCCTACCCACCCACCCTCATTGAAAAGACAAGCAACTAAATATAGGTTATATATGTGCAGTTATGCAAAACACTTCCATAGTAGACCTGCTGTGAAAAACTAACTCTATTTCCCTTAATCCTATCCTGCCCCCTATTTATTCTATTCTTTCTTTTGACCCTGTCCCTCCTCAGAAGTATCTGATTACCCCCTTTCCCAATCTGCCCTCCTCTCTATCATCCCCCTACTCTCTTGTCCCCTCCCAAAAACCTGTTTTGTAAAACAACTTTGAGAGACTTTAGAGCTCTGATCAGTGTAGTGACCAGTCAGAATTCCAGAAAAACTGATGATGTAGCTTGCTTCCTACCTTGGGGCAGAGAAGTGATGATTAGAGGTATAAAAAGAGACATCCATTTATAGATATAGCCAATATACCAATTTGTTTAGCTTAAATACACTTTGGTTGCAAAAAAGGGCTAGGCTTATACTGGGAGGAAGAGGGAAATTGGTAGATAATGAGAATGATGCAGAAAAAAAAAGATCACTAATGAAATACTAAAAATATAAGAAGAGAGCAAAAAGAAATTTGGAAAACTATGTCCTAAAGATTCATTACCCTGTGGTCGATCTCCTGATGATGAACTTCTGTGAACTTAGCTACTCTGGTCTCTAGACAGCAGACATTGGCCATCACAGGCCCAAACTCAAATTCTCCCCAACTTGGTAGGGCTGGCCAGGGCCTCTGCTTGACTGGCACAGCCATCAGGAATCCAGAGAAACCTCTTCCCTGTGATGAGGTTATCAGAAGGACTTTAGTGGAAGCAAATAGGAGATTTTTTTAAAGTAATCCATAGTAATCTTAATCCATAGCCACAGTTAATATCATGGCAGCCTAAGCCATAAGGATAGTATTTTTTTGCTATTATTTTTGATGATATAAAATATTTTAACTATTTCTTGACTGAAACATTTTCGCATGTGCTAAAATGAACTTTTCCGTTTCAGAATAACAAACCTTTGTACTCATTTGAAGACAATTCAGATTATGTTTATGATGTGATGTGGTCGCCCACCCACCCTGCCCTGTTTGCCTGTGTGGATGGCATGGGGAGACTGGATCTGTGGAATCTCAACAATGATACAGAGGTGAGCAACAAAATGACAAAAATTGCACTGGAAAACAGAAAATTGGAGATTTATTGAATAATTTGTGAAATTCCCTTTATCCCAAGGAATGTAAAAGGGGCTATGTGATTGTAGTTTCATCACAAAGAAGCCAAATAAGCTTCGTACACTAAATAAAAAAGAGCCTGCTGTGAAGAACTGAGAGGAGGAGTAATGTTTGCCAAAAACACTGGGGAATTTCCTTTTATTTCTCAAAAACACTATCATGTCTCTAATGCCCTGGCAAAGTCTCCATTCACAAGGCAACTGGGGTACTTTATACTCGAAACATAGAAGTTTGATAGTTGCCGATAGTTGGTATATGTTAACCTAAATTCTGAGTTTCTAAAGTGACTGTTAGCTTTTCCGTTAGAATTGTGCATTGTTCATAGACTACTGGCTAGGCCTTACTTGTATTTGACTAGGAGGGAAAATGTTTTAATGTCTCTTTCATAAGTAATTGAAAATATTACTATTTTTTATCCCGAAATAAATAGAAAAATCACCCAAACTCGTAACTTATATGCTAGAATTTGCCATGAAATCTAACTATAAATGTGATTTCCTTTTCTTTTTTCCTCTCAAATTATAGCCATATGCAATATACCAGCTGAAGATAAGCTTATAATTTTTTTTTTCTTTTTGGTGAGGCAATCGGGGTTAAGTGATTTGCGCAGGGTCACACAGCTAGTAAATGTCAAGTGTCTGAGGACAGATTTGAACTTGGGTCCTCCTGACTCCAAAGCCAGAGCTCTCTTCACTGTGCCACCTAGGTGCCCCTATAATTTTCTTAAGATTCTGTATTACTGTACAGTAATGAAATGATGTTGTAATATTAGCACCAAAAGTTAGCATTGCCACCAAGAGCAGAGCTTTTTGTACTATCTGTACATATCCCAGTCTCCTGCGTGTTCTCACCTATTTTCTGAGGACTCCTGTCTATGACCAGTGATTCAGCTTCTGGGCCTTTAAGTTTTAATTGTTTTTGCTTCCCCAGAGCCAGGGAGTTATTCATAGGCAAGGGGAGAATAACTTGAGGATTCTAATAGTGTCTAATAATGTAAGGAGTTGTTCATGATGATGATGATAATCCACTTATTGAGTACATTATGGCTTATCAAACACTTCCTGTATTATGAAAGTTAGGAACATTTTTCATTCACAGAGGAGTGTAAACCACTGCTTGTAATTATATCATAGCATCCCAGATTCAGGCCTGGACAGCACCTTAGAAGTGATCAAGTCCCGACCCCTCTTTTTTCCTTCTTTTTTTTCTTAAGATAAGAAAGCTGAAGCCCAAAAAAATAAAGCAACTTGACTGGTATTTTGAATTATTTACTTTCAAGTTTCTTAACCTTATATTCTTAGTATCTTTAACCAGATAGCTTTGGAGATAAATTTTCGGAATCATTTTAAAACATAGGTCATTTGTATTATACAGTACAACCAAATTTAGACAAGTAACACTAATTTTGTTTATTTAAACATCAAGCTCTTGGGAAGAAAACTATAAATACTGCGTTTTGTTTGACATTAGATTGCTGTTTTAAGTACTATTTTTATACAGGAAGATTTTGAGGAAATCAAGCATTTTTCATTGTGTGATGAAGAAATCCCTCTTTGTCACGTATAGATAGAATAGGAGTTAGTAGTTATGATCTGCTTCATTCAGATTGGTTAGAAGGGAAGAAGTTTTGTTATTCCCATTGATTGTCACTGTCTTGGTGTCATTTTTCATGATAGCAGCCTACCCTGTTGCTTTAGTTAATTCATTGACCCCTCTGTGGAACAAGATGGAATACCACTGGAAGCCTGGGATTGTAGTTTATAGAAACTGAGGGTTATGGGTAATGGAGATGCAAACCACAGAAGGCACACTTGTAGTTTAGAATTAGACCATGGTTTTCCTAAAAGGAATTTTGATTATGTATTTTTAAATTGTCTTACTACTTTTAAGAAGTTTGAAAAGAGGGGGGAAAACAATTCTTTGATCATGAAGGAAGAAATTTCCTTTAAAATCACGGTTTAGGTTATAGAAAAATTTTCTGTATAAAGGTTTAAATAATTTTCTCAAACTACTCTCAAGGATTGGTTATAATTTCATTTATAAAACTAGTATGTGTTGACAGAAACAAATGCTGGAAAAATTCTATATCTATTTTAATGCTTGTTTCCCAAAAATATAGCCAGACTAGAGGAAAGAAGACTTATACTGTTTTACATGTTTATTGAAATCCTGATGAAACTTTTAACAATGCACTGTATTTTAAATGAATTCAGGTGCCGACTGCAAGCATTTCTGTGGAGGGTAATCCTGCTCTTAATCGTGTGAGATGGACACATTCTGGGAGAGAGATTGCTGTAGGCGATTCTGAAGGACAGATAGTTATATATGACGTGGGAGAGGTATGTGGTTCATTCTTTATAATAACACAAGTACTTGGCTTTCAGGCATTACAGCAAAAAGGCTCTGTGAATGTGATTCTGGCATCATGGTGGTGGTTTGTGCTCTTTACAAACTGTATGTGATTGTGAAGACTAAACAGACTGACCAGAGCGAAGTTTCCCCCCAGCTGACTCATTCTGGAGTTAGTTGCATTTTCTTTTTAAAATAGATAATGTGACACCACCACCACCACCCCACCTCCCCAATAGAGTAAGATTTAAATTTGTTAACGTTTTGTATTTCTAATAACGAAATGTGCTGCAGTACCAGAAAAATTTAGAAAGAATTGGAGCAAAGTTTTCTGGTCTCTGCATTGATAGCCATGTACAGAGATGTTCTTTTGCTTTGTTATTGGATTCAATAAGACCAGGCAGTGGTCCAACCAGAATTTTCTTCTGTTTGATTATCTCAGTGGTAACCAAAATGTTAGCACTATTATTTGGTGATTGTGTGAACTGAATTAAGAATCCAGAGACTGATTTTAAAATCATCACAGTTGGCACTATAATTTGGAAAGGTAGAACGATGCTGGCAAAATTTAGTGAATGAGATGTTCTGTCTCCTTTTTTCAGGTCTATAATTATTCCGTATCTGAATTTAACAACATTGGTAGGGAAAGAAAGAGAGATTTACATTAGTATCATATTTCCTATATTCAGGAAAGAGTATAATCTCATAAATAAAATTTAAACTAATATTCAGGGTTGTCAAAAGGTCTAGATTTTATTCTTGTCTTTCTTACTAATTTGAGTCACTGAATTTTGTGAATCACAAATAAAACCAGGTTACCTCTATCTCCTTTCTCCTCAATGTCCATTCTTCCCCAAACCAAACACAATTTATTTTGATCATTATCAGATATATCAGTTTCTCATCGAGAAGGCCATGGTAGGGAAAGGACTGGTAGGAAAGTACCCACAGTAAAAATTGAGGAGGAGGAGGAGGAATTAGGAGAGCAGGGAGGGAATAGGAATCCGACATATGTTAGTGTTTGGGGATATTTCCTTTTCTTCTCGTGTCTTCTTCCTTCTCTTTCCTCCCTAAACTACTTCCCATATTATGATTCCTTTTCACTGAGGTTGAGTTCAGCTAAGACTTGATCTCATTAAGGTAAATAATGCCACATAAATGATCAATAGACAACCTTCCTAGCAAACATTTTAATCCCAACTATCCAACTGTCAAACTTCTAAGGAGTAAAACACACAGAATCAGCATTTTTTAGTGGCATGTAGCTTACACGTCCTCCACCTTTGCTGGTGACTCTGTACTCTACAAAGCTTAGTCATCAGAGGGTAGAGAAGTTAGCCTAGCAAAAGAAAATCCATAAAGTGCTATGTAGGTATTATATTTACAAAGCATCATTATTATTGTATCTTGTGCTGATGGTGATAATAGAGAAGTCGTTTCTAGCGCTGTCACAACACATTTCACAAACACCGTTCTTTTTTTCCTGTAAATGTTGTAAGTCATTGTTATAGTCCCAGTGATTATAGAAAGGCCATTCAGGCCAGTGATTATTTTTTAGTGGAAAAACTATTTGAAAACAAACAGAAATGATAGTGGGTAAGATGATCTCTTAATTTCTTTCAGCATGCACAAAACATTTTCTTCTCTTTTAACAGCAAATCGCTGTTCCCCGCAATGATGAATGGGCTCGATTTGGGCGAACACTAGCAGAAATTAACGCAAACCGAGCTGATGCAGAGGAGGAAGCTGCCACCCGCATACCTGCTTAAATGGGCTTTGTGCTAGTAGTGGATTGGGGACTGATTCTAAATAGAAATTAAAACTCATAGCATGCTTCTGTCTAAAGGGAATTGAAGGGTGATCTTGTGGATTAAACGATGGACTTAAAACACACATAGCTCTTTAATGCAAAAAATTCATGCAGTGTCACTTTTTATATTCATATTGTTATTGGCTTTGTGTAATTTTTAATACAAACGACTTTTGCAATATGCAGTTTTTTTCTGAATACTTACACAGGCATATATTTGCTATATTAGTATCTTGAACTTTTTTCAACCTGTAACAGTATACAGTTATTTCTGAAAGGTGTAGATTACATAAATTCCACATATTTTTCAATAATCACTTCTCCAGGTAAACACAAGATCTGACCACTAATATGTAAGAACATTGTTTATTGTTAACCATTAAAATGCATGTACCCACTCAAGTTTCATCTTTTCTGTCCTTTTTCATAACTGTGCTTCTTTAAAGTAGTGACAGCTGTGGCTACAAATAAAAGAATCAGTCTGTCAAATCCAGACTTTCATTTTCAGTTACTGCATGAAATTTCAATTTATCAATCACTGTTACACCTCCTCTTTGTTTCTATTCTGGTTCCAATAGTTGCTTTCATAATCTTTTACTGAGTATTCTATGCCAATTCATCATTCATTGATATTTAGAGCATGAAAGTGGTAATTTTTTTCTAAGTTGGCTTTTTTTTTTTTTTTTTTTTTGCTATTTTTCTTCCAACCAGGACATATGTCAAAGGGCAGATAAATCTTATAATTTTTCTACTTGTTTGTGATACAGCTATCTATATCTAGCTCTATCTGTTTATAGCTAGATAGATAGCTATTTATCAAATTACCTACTTCTATCTGCTAATTTTTAGGTAGATCTCTATATATAACTAGGTGTAGCTAGATAGAGGTCTATCTATAGTTTCTGAAAGTCAGAATTACTTTGAATTCAATCAGTTTCATAATTTCAATAGAAACCATGGAAGACTCAGCAGAGTAAGAAGTCAGGTCCTCATTATTGAGAATTTAACCTTGTCATGTTCCTATCTAGGCATTTTGTTTGCAGGTGGCAAGTTCTAAAGGCTTGTGCAACAATCTATATTTAGAGTTGGAGAGGAACCAATTTTGAATATAATTCTGGGGAATTACCTTTTCTTCGTTCATACTTTTGCCAACATATTGACCTGTTCGCTTCTAATAGCCTTCTACCAAAAAAAAAAAAAAAAAATGAACAGTGATTTAAGAGGAAATAAAATTCAAAAATCTCTGCATTTTTTTTCTTGTTAACAATTGTCATAAAAATTTTGAGAGATATGAAATTACTAAAGGCCTACTACAGCGTTTAGGTCTTTTAGGACTAGGCCAGTGGAGGTTTGACAGGTCTTTTACTTCAAGTATAGAGCTAGCCAAGGACCATATCTGCCATCCAAGAACCGTTTGTTTCAGAGAGACTCAGTAGGTTGGCCCCGAGATGATGTATATATTGTGGAGAGTGTCGGGATCAGGGTATGCAGCAGGCACAGTAACAAATAAAGATTGTTTCCTGAGGTGTGTGAGGGTTGCCAGATCTATTAGAAAGAACTACACTGATGAAATCAGATTCTTGAAGTCTTGAAGAAAAATATTAAGTTGGTTTTGAGGATTTTGTGTGTTTTCATTTCTGGTGTGCTTAAGTGGAAGAATCATTAGGCTGAGAGTCAGGGGCCTGGTTGCAGCCTAATGCTGATTAAGCTCTGTGACCTAGTGCACATTATTTACTATTTGCATGTTCCACTATCCTCATCTGTAAAATGAAGAGCTTAAAGTCAGAGATGAACTGAAGACCTTTCCTGGTAGATTGTCCTAAGATTCTTAGTCGTTATTCCCAATTATTATCTCTAATCAGGACTATTAGATTGTGATTTTTTTCCCCTTTAGCTTGCATTTTTTGAGACACAGAATATCAATATAACCACAAAAGGAGGTTTTGGAAATAACAATGGGCGAAATAAGACTTTAGAAAAAATGTCTTCCTTCCGTGTAAACTACACTTTTTTAGATTTTTAGATTTAGTCTAAATCTGGGATGAGAATCTGGGATGCTATAATTACAAGCAATGGTTTATACTCCTCTGTGAATGAAAAATGTTCCTAACTTTCATAATACAGGAAGTGCTTGATAAGCCATAACGTGCTCAATAAGTGAATTATCATCATCATCATCATCATCATGAACAACTCCTTACATTATTAGATGCTATTAGACAGATTTAGATTTTTAGAGATCACTAAGTTTAGGATGTTTTAAGAACTGAATTTCAACCCAGCCACCTACAGATACTTTCTACCAGCAATGACCACTCCTTTCTGATCTGGAAATATAAACTCTTGTTTCCTTGATTTATCTCTTTAGTTCTTTTTATAGAGGTGTTTTGAATGGAGAATCAAAATGTCTTCCTTTCGGTGGTTTTTCTTTAAGCTAAAGTCTGCCTATTATTGGAGGACTTGCCCATTTTGCAATACCATTTTGAAATAATTACTGTCCTATTTATATGGCATTTCCTGAACATTTTTGCTCAAAGAATTAGCAAGTTGGAGTTCTTTCCCTGTGCTCCATGGGTTGAAAGTTCTTTGGTCTTTTCTTTTTTCATCTTAGAAAATACTAAATGTTGAGTTCCAAAATAGGCTACTACTTAGCCCTGAAGTCTTTCGTATGAAAGATCACATTTTTATTGGCATAGGAACAATTTTTCTTTGGAAAGTTATCTTATTAACTGATGTGTATTCCTGGTACCAACTTTTGCTCAGACATAAAAGGTAAAAGAATAAAAGAACACTCCTTTCTTAGAGAAGACTATGTATAATACAAATCAATCCCTTTTCCTTTTCGCTTCAATTTTCAAAAGGTGCTTTTTAAAGCTATTAGGTGGTATGTTGCTCTTTAGTACTTGATACAGAGGCTGTATTTTTTGATGATCTCATGGCCAAATCCATTTTCCTGTTCTGTGAGTTACCACAGTAGTGTTTTAGAAGAAAAGCTTTTCACAGAACCACCAAATTTGAGAACTGGAAGGGACCTCATTGACTATCTAATCCAACCCAAACACAAAAAGAATCCCCACGGTAACATACCAGTGGGTTATGTTGCCCGTTGCTTAAATACCTCCTGAGAGAGGAAACCCACCACCTCTCAAGGTGGCCCATTCCGTTTTCACGTGGTTCTAATTGCTAGGAAGTTATTCTTGACATCAAGCATAGATTTGCTTATTTGTAACTTCTATCCGTTACTTCTGCTTCAGCCCGTTTAGGACCCAGCAAAACAAGTACAATCCCTCCTTCACATGATAGCCTTTAAGATATTTGAAGACGATAATTATGATCCCACCAGCACCTTCTCTTCACCAGGCTAAATCTCCCTAGTTCCTTCAACTCATCCTCATATGACATAGACTCAAGGTTCTTCATCATCTTGGTTGTCCTCTAGACAATTTTTAGTTTATCAGTGTTCTTAAATCATGGTGTCCAGAACTGAGCACAGTATTCCAAAGGATGTCTGAGGAGAGCAGACAACAGTGGGATTTTTCTGTAGTGAAAACTATCACCTCACTATTCCTGGAAGCTATACCTCTCTTAATGCAACCCAAGATTGCATTAAGTTTTTTGACAACAAAATCACACTACTGATTTGTGTTGAGTTTGCAGTCCACTTTTGATGGACATTTACTTCTTTTTTCATTATGCTATCTAGCCATGCCTCCCATATCATATAGTTGTGAAGCTGTTATCTTATACCCAAATCCAAGATTATAGATTTACCCCTACTGAATTTCACATTATGACATTAAACCCAGTGTTCTAACCAGTGATGATTCTTTGGATCCTAACTCTGACTGTGTTAGCTTTACCTCCCTACTTGCTCTTGCTGTCATTTACAAATTTGAGGAGCATAACATTTATGCTTTATCCCATTCAGTGATAAAATTGTTAAACAGCAGAGGGTCAAGCGTAGATTCCTGAGGTACTCCACTAGAGACCCTACCATGTTAAAACTGAACCATAAACAACTACTCTTTGAGTCCAGCCATCAAACCAGTTCTGAATCCATCTGATTATATTACTATCTTTTCTGTATCTCTCCACTTTCTCCAAAGACACTTTTTGAAAAAGCTTTGCTAAAGATCTAAGTAAACTATATCCACAACATTCGCTTCATCTACTAGTGTATGCATCCTGTCATATAAAGAAATGAGGTTATCTGGCATGACTTTTTTTTGGCATGATTGATTCTTGATGAAACTATTCTGTCTCTTTGTACCCAGTACTGCCCTATCTAGATATTCACCAACCATTTCTTTAATGATCCATTCTAGAATTCTCCCAGGAATCAAAGTCAAGCTCATTGGCCTACAGTTTGTAGATGGTTCTGGTTTTTTTCTTTGTTGTTGTTGTTGTTTTTGAAAGTTGAGATATTTGCCCTTCTAGAGTGTTGTGGTACCTGTCCCATTTGTCACAATCTTTTTTTTTAAATAAATTGTATTTTTATATTTTGTGTTTACATTGTTTGTATCCCTCCCAGAGGGCTACTCCATATAACAAGACAAAGATTTTTTTTTTAATTAGCAAAACTGATCAGTACATCAAAGAATTCTGAAAATATATGCAGTATACCACACTTGCAGACTCCTTACTCTGGAAAGGAACTGGGCGAGGTGTCATATCTCTTCTTTGAGACCCAGCATGTTCTTTGTAATTTGTTTGGTGGTGGTGGTACTTTCCATTAACATTGTTATAGTCGTGTCTTTTTTTCTTAGCTCTACTTACTTCTGTTTGCATCAGTACATGTAAGTCTTTCCATGCTTTGCTGTATTTATCATATTCATCATGTCTTACAGCACAATACTGTTCCATTATATTCATGTAGCACTGTCTAGTCATGTCCATTCAATGGGTATTTACTTTATTTCCATTTCTTTGCTACTGCAAAAAGTGCCGCTATAAATATCTTGGTGTATGACCTTCATTGGGGTATATGGCTAGTAGTGTAATCTCTTGAGTCAGTGGGTACAGACATTTTAGTTACTTTATTTGCATGATTACAAATTGCTTTTCAAAACGGTTGTACTAATTCACAGCTTCACCAATAATACATTAATGTGCCTGTTTCCACAGCCCCTCCAACATTAACTATTTCCATCTTTTTCCATTTTTCACAATTTGCTGGATGTTATTTTATTTGCTTTTCTCTCATTAGTGATTTGGAATATTCTTTCATATAGATGTTTATAGTTTGCAATTCTTTCAAGAACTGTTCGTATTCTTTGACCAATTAGTTATTGTGAAATATTTTTGGGACATATACGTTTTTATTAGCTCTCAGTATATCTGGTATGCCAAACTCTTATCAGAATTTGATAGAAAAGTGGGTTTTTTTTCCCCATTCAACTACTTCTCTTCTTATTCTCGCATTAATTTAGTTTGTGCAGAAGCTTTTCAATGTCATGTAACCAGAGTTATTTACTTTATCTTTTGTAACT